GGGGGCGGACTTTCGAAGCCAAACGCTGCTTCTGAGCCGCGTCTGTCTCTCATACCTGCAGCATGTGTCTGACCCCTAGATGACGGTACTCCCTTGCGCGCTCCCCCTTCTTCGACCGGGGTCGGCGGATTTGCGAAAGCATGTGTTTTCATCCTGTATCATCTTTCAAGCACGTCGAACCAATCGTAACTAACCCCACCCAACCCGCCCCCATTTTTCCAAGCATCTGCGGATGTGGTATCATCTTCCATTCACATCCAATACATTACCACAGACGAGCGCACAAAAATCCGAAGCGCAAGGGAGTTCCGGTCCAAACGCACAAAAAGAAACTGCGAACAAGTGCGAAGAAAAATGAGGTTGCCCTGACTCAACATAACAAAATGTTGCGACTTAAAGTGAAAACGTAAAGCTGCCAACGTTCATGCTTAGTGCAAAGACATCGGACAAATATTTTTGTGGTTTGTTTCGATTAATAAAACTGCACGACTACTAGCGCGGTTGTCCACAAACATGGGAGCAATTGTGGCGTGACACCCTAAACATGGAACCTGCAAAAATGTATATCCCAAGGAGGTTGGTATTCCCCAGATAAGGATACATATATATATATATATAACATTATATATAGTTGTTTTTCTTACAAGCCGATGGTTGATTTCAGGGATCCAATGCAATAAGTATATGTTCCAGTCCCAAGCAGGTCTCCTGTGGGGGGTCCTAAGAGTTTCAAGACGTCGATACCCATTTTCTTTCTTCGGCCTCTTGCATCTCAGGCAGCAGGGTGATGCTTTGGCCCAGCTGGCCGGCTGAAACGACCGCAAGCGGCTGTGAGTGGTAGTGGGATGAACGCAGCTAAGACCTTTTGGGGATCTTTAGGAAGAGGAGCTGAATGGGAGAATCTCAAAAAAAAATTGGTTTGTTGATGTTTGTTGGTATATATAATAGATGCTGTTGAGCTAGAGACATGGACCAAGTTGCGAGAGCATTTGTGCTTGAAAGGATCGGACTCTCACACCGTTTCTGCAAAGGCTCGAAGAAGAGAGTTCACGGCATGCGCTCCTGTGGATCTTCGATCCCGAAGGGGTTGGGTCGGTCAGTGAATCCAATCCCAAGAGCTCTGAGTGTTAGGAACTCAGCAGTATTGACCCTGCCAGGCTTTGTGGCCACCAACGGATGTCCAGTTGTTTGAAACGAAGTCTCAGACGATCTCAGAGTCTCTGACGATTCGATGAGAGGAGGCTGAATTGGTGGCAGAACGTGTCCAAAATGGGCGGATCATGATGACTTCGTAGATCAACAGTTTCAACACCCGGGGAATCCGTGAACAGCTACGAGAGGTTTTTCTCATGACCATCCCCGAATCATTCCCAGCCCATTCTGTGCATGATCTACAGGTTCGTTACCGATATGAGAAAACAGTGGTTGACCCAGTATGATCTACCCAAGAAGTATGTAGCTAAACCTACAGGTCGCCCACCCATTGTGGGGGGATTGGGGACTTAGAAACCCAGAACAGGCGGAGTTTGTTCGGTTCACCGGAGATATTTTCTAGGGATGAAACGGCTGCGGGGGCGTCCGACGCCGAGAATCAGCGTGGTTTCCAGACAAGCAAGAGCCAATGATCGTCTCTCCTCCTGGAGCTTCCAAACTCGAGATGTTGGTGATTCGTTGCTTTGAACCGGTTGGTTTCAGCTCAGGGTTTCTCAGACCAGACTCGACAAATGAGACGGCAAGAGTTACGCCCCCATGGATCTGTTATTTGTGTGGGGTAAATGTATAGTAACTATTCCAATAATTTTAATCATATAATTGCATATAACAACTATTCCACTCTTTTCATACTTGCAATGATGGGTCATAACTATATATGGTGTATGTAACTATTCCAGCAGTCCCACAAGCCACGTTTGGGACGCCTCCGCCTGGCTTTTCCTCATTGGGGGCCCCGCAGCCAGCGGTCGACCCACAACGGGCACGTGGCACCCCCCGACCGAGGAGAGAGCTGGAGGTGTTCGTTTTTGTGGAATTGCCATGAATGCACTGAAAATCCTCAAGCGAAAACCCTATTGGAACATCTGGTGATTTGGGCCTCGAAGGTACCATTGATTCCACCAAACCATCCAGTGTCCCGTTTGGGACGACACCCGGAACGCACCGAACTCGGAACCTCGGTGGGTCCCGGGGGTGGCCCCCGGGGTGGATGGTCGCTGGAGGGTCGGTCGTCAGAGCGAAGCTGAGGAGGTAGAACTGGAGCCCAAAGGGGAGTATTACAAAGGTGGTAGGCCGTAGGAGACGGAAGGTGGTAGAGTTATACTACCCAACATCCTCCACCTAGGTGGAGCCCTATGTTTTGGAATTTTCTACCTAGGTGGTGGGCCGTAGGTCGTTTGATGAGTTACAAGGAGCTAAGGCTGCTTGAGGAGCTGCTTTTCAGAGACCCGAAGAGATAGCCCAAAGCTTTCTGCGGGGGGGGTGGTAAGTATATGTCAACTTCCAAAACCCAGTGGCATCAGGCTTGTCAGCCGGCTCGTAGATGGAACAGACGGTGGTAAGAGCATCCCATTTTGAGCAACAGCTTTGTATTCGGGTTCAAAAAAAGAAGCAGCATCAGCTGGTTTAAGAATACGATGACATAAGATGACAGTGGTTCATCGGTTCATTCTGTCAATGCAAGGCATGACCCTGAACCTGGCATCCGTTCTCAATGGGTGGGGAGGATGGAAGTAGCTAGTAGCAAGGTTACGCAAGACATCTCAAGATCTTATGCAGTCTGTCATGCAGCTTGAGTCAGAATTGCGCAGAAAGGCGGAACCTCTCGCAGATCCAACAGGAGTCCAATAGGTCCGAGTCGGTCCGAGTGCAAGAAATCTGGGGCCCCAAGGGTCGAGGGTGGGGCCAGGTTTCTTGCGGTTTCGGGATGGTTTCGGGATGCCCACCCCAAGTGCATGTTTCTTGTTTTCAGCTGGGTGCAGGCTTTTGTTGTTCATTGATAGTAGTTTGGTGGTAGAAGTTCGACGCGTACCAGCTCATTGCTTGGTTATTCCCTCTGAGGTTTGATTCCACTCAAAAACGCAGCCAACAATTTCTCAAGGCAGCAGGTTTCAGTAGCACAAGAGCTTTTCAGACGCACAAGCCATCACAAACACAGTCAAATGACCCTGGATCTGACGATATTTGACGGCTCCCCTCGGGAGTTGAGCCACAGCTATCCTCAGTTCAGGTACCAAAAAGGTCTGTTGACCTTCGGAATCACCCCCAAACATATCCAAACACCAATGGATCAGATGTTTTTTCCTTAGAGCAGTCTAGATTGGGTATATCACATTCCAATGGGCCCAGTGGATGATGAGGTTGCAGGCCTTTCCACAGCTCAATGAGACACACAAAGAAAGAAAAGTTCTGCTGTGGCTGGGAGCTCCGTGTCCGGTCACCGCAGACTCTCCGGTCACCGCCGCTCGACCGTCACTCGACCGTCACAACTTGCTGCAGACCGTCACAACCCGAGCGGCGGACGCGTCATGGCGGCAGCGTGATGCTTCATGAGCACTGACGGTCCGGCAGGATGGTGACGGTCGTGGCTGGGACGGTCGGGGACGGTGGTTTGGACGGTCGGATGATTGCCCGATGCGAATCCAAGACTGGCAGACTCAACATGTCGCTTCCCAGACTCAACATACGACACAAGGACCAGCGATGCCACAAAGTTTGGGGTGTCATCTCCCTTAGATTCAGACCACAAAGCGAAGTACAAGTTGGCGCATGATAGAAGAATGGAACGCTGCTATGTTTCTTTAACATCATGAACCATATGTACTGTTTGGTGTGTAGAGTCCCCGCAAGCGCCTTGCGCTCGTCACGACTCAAACGTTTGACCATGTCCTGCACCAGACGCGCAGACTCTGCGGGTTGATTATCAATGTTTTGTTTTGTCCCATGACCTGCAACAGTCGGTATAAAAGATTTAGAGGCCTAGGCCTGCAACCGAATAATCATCATCCAGGGAAAAAGCAACATCTACCCAATCAACGGTTTCCACCAGAGAAGTTCTGGCTGTTTTCTAGAAGGTGCGTTCTCATGTCGAACCTGTCGTTCTCCACGACAAGGGGGTGCTGTGCGTTCTCGTTCTCCGTTTTCTTGCGTTCGCGTTAGCGCGACGCGTCGCGTTAGCGCGACACGTTCGAACAGGAGCGGTGGGCTTCAATAAGGAGAGCAAGGAGACCACGGCAGCAGAGGACATGGGAGGGTCCAACGCAGCGGAGCGCGAGGACACTAGCCTTCCCAGAGGCCCGAATGTGTGGCCCTAGATATAAGACAGATGAGCTACGATGGCACTCCCAACTAGACAGACAGACAGACACCTATGCATACTCCCAACTACGGATACTTTTGGGGGGGGGGAGATTACAACAATCCTTTTAATACCATGAACTGGCCGTTGCGAGGTTTGATGTGTGGGCCCCTTCCCCCGCTGACTTCTTTCCCCGCTGACTTCGTGGCACGCGGTGCCCGCCAGTCCTGATCGTCCGGAGTTGCGAAGCGAGTCGAAACAGTGAGAATGACCGGGTCACAAGAGTCTGGTGCTTTCCCGAGCCGATTAAAGACAGGTTCGAGATTCTAGTCATGCATGTTAATGTTCATCAGTATACCGTATACCGTAGCACATGTTTTGTTTTTCATTGCTTATGCTTCCTGCTTTGAGGATGCCACTCCTGATTCACCTGCGAAAGCAGCTGACGGTGAAGCTGACGCTGGGTCTTTCACGAAGTTAACGCATGCAGCAGAGGCGCTTGCATCTCATGCTGCGTCACAAGCTGCTGGTCTTTTCTCCTACAAGAAGGTCGAGGAAGAGAAGGCTCAGGAACTTCTGACATGGGGGTACATGTTTCATTGCTTGCAGTGAGAGCTATTGGAAAATGAAGGGGGAAGTATATATTTAGAAAGCAACTAGCTTTCGCTGCTGTATCAACACACCTAACTGCAGCATGGACTTTGAACAACACTTCTCAATGAGCATGAAGGTTGAGACCGCACTTTGTTCGCTTCTTTGTATGACTTGATGTAGCCAACGTGATCTTTTCTCAGTTCAGACAAAGACCAAGAATCGAGATTGAATAGAGGTGCACAAGGACAGGAAGAAAGG